TTCTTGGCATGGTTGATGGCTCCATTCAGGTACCCCCTGCTTATTCCATAGATGCTCTTAACCGTCAAACTCACAATCCCGAATTTTCTACTTGGTTAAGAATTGATCAAACCATCCGTTCATGGTTATTTGCAACCCTATCTAGGGATGTTCTTATCGATGTACGTGATTTAAAACATTCATATGAAATTTGGGAGCGGTTGGAGTCTCGGTTTATGCCTGCTACTTTAGCGAGATCTATGGAATTAAAGCGTTTATTTAATCAAATTAAAAAGAAACCTGATCAGTCCATGAATAATTATTTGCGAGAAATTAAAACATTAGCTGATGATCTTGCCACAATCAATTGCCCTGTGCCTCAGCGTGAAATTTTAAAAACTACTATTATGGGACTAGGACCTGAGTATGAATCTTTATACACTGCTGTGTCCTTATTTGGACAAAATTTTCCGTTTGAGACTCTCCGTAATCATCTTCTTGAGTTAGAGCAGCGGGTCTTTTATCTTCGCTCCCAGGAGTCCCAGTCCATTCATCAGGCGTTTGGCGCGGCTGTTTCATATCCCAGGCAGCCATCTGGGCAACAGCCAACCCAGCAGAATTCGGAATCCACTCACCCGGTCGGGCAGCAGACTTACCCGGTCGGGCAGGCTCGGCAGAACGGCGCTCCACAGCGCGGGCGAGGACGTGGGCGCGGCAGAGGCTGCGGAGGCAGGGGGCGTGGTCGAGGACAGCAGCAGCAGGCATATTGGTTCCCTCAGGGGCATCCAGTTTATTACCCCGGAGGGGGTGGGCAGCCGAGTACTCCTGCAGGGGGTGTGACATCTACGGGTACTGTTATTTGTAATTCTGCTGTGTCACATTTAAATATTAATGCTTTACCTATCTGTGTTACTAACAGTAGTCATACAGGCTTGCCATCAGATGGAGGTATTCTTGGATCTGTTCCCCACCCTGTTGTCTGTCAAATTTGTTTTTCTGCAGGTCATTCTGCCATTAACTGTCCTTCTCGTTTCACACAACCAACGTCTCCTGCTCTGTTGACTACTCCCGGTGACACTACTCCTGCTCTATGGTTTCCTGATTCAGGAGCTTCTGCTCATATGACTGCGTCTGAAGGTAATTTAGTTAATAAATCTCCCTACACCGGCTATAATTCTGTTAGTGTTGCCAATGGTGCCCATCTTCCCATATGTAATATTGGTGATGTTGCTTTACCTACATCTGGTCGTCCTCTCACTTTAAAATCCATTTATCATGTGCCTCAGTTAAAATATAATTTAATTTCCATTAAAAGGCTCTGTGCTGATAATAATTGTACTGTAATTTTTGATAAAAATTCTTTCTTGGTTAAGGACAAAGCAACGGGGGCAATACTTCTGCGAGCTACTAGTAGTAGACCACTTTATCCTCTCCATCTGTCGTCTGCATCACCATTAGTTTTTGCTTCCGTTTTAGCTTCTGGCCCTGTGTGGCACCGTAGATTAGGTCACTGTGGTGATAGTACTTTACAGTTTCTTAAGAGAAAACAATTTTTATGTAGTCATACTCCCTTTACTCATGAGTGTGTGGCCTGTCGTTTAGGAAAATCACAACGTTTACCTTTTATGGATGCTAGTCATAATTCTATTTTTCCTTTGGAAATTATACATTCTGATGTGTGGCAGTCACCTGTGTATTCAAATTTGGGATTCAAGTATTATGTATGTTTCATTGATGATTTTTCTCGTTATACTTGGATATATCCCATGTGTCACAAAAATGAGGTTTTCTTGCACTTTAAAAATTTTAAAGCTTTGGTTGAAAATCTTTTTAATCAGAAAATTAAAATTTTTCAAAGTGATGGGGGAGGTGAATTTGTTAATAATAATATGCAGCAATTTTTCTCTGCTAATGGCATTTACTTTAGAAAATCTTGCCCTGACACACCTCAACAGAATGGGGTTGCTGAGCGCAAGCATCGTCATTTACTTGAGTTAACTAGGACCATGCTTCTTGAAGCTTCGGTTCCGAGTCACTATTGGGTCGATGCCATATTTACTGCTGCATATATTATTAATAGATTACCCTCTCCTACCTTAAATGGTCTTACTCCGTATCAAAAATTGTTTAACCGAGTTCCCGATTACTCCTTTATGCGAGTATTTGGTTCTGCCTGTTATCCAAATTTTAATGCCACCTCAGCCAATAAATTATCACCTCGTTCAGTTCAGTGTGTTTTCCTTGGCTATGCATCCGGTTATAAAGGCTATCGTTGTTTGGATCCTTTCACAGGTCGAGTCTATGTTAGCCGACATGTTAGGTTTCATGAGGACACATATCCTTTTAAAACTCTCTCGTCTGCTCCATCCTGGTCTATTTCTACTACACCATCTCCTATGCATCTCACCGATATCACTCTTGACCCACCTCTCCAGCCTGTTCCCACAATTACGGCCGCACCAGCACCAACCCCATCATCGCCACCTCGGTCACCAAGTATGCCTATCACTCCGTGTGTACCGTCGGCCCATTCCTCCTATCCCACGTCCACAACCAGCCCCCCACCATCCCATCTCTCTTCCCATACTTCGTCTAGCACGCCACAGCCAACATCAACCGACACTGTCTCACCTGAAACCACCTCACCTACGTCCACTACGGTAGTTAATCACCATCCCATGCAAACCCGTGCTAAGTCAGGAATTTTTAAGCCTAAAACCATTTTTAATTTAAGTACAGTTACTGTCAATGCAGATCCTACCTGTTTTACTGAGGCAAATAAACAATTAAAATGGCGTGAGGCAATGGCTGATGAATTTAATGCACTCATTAATAATAATACGTGGGACTTGGTGCCCTTTGATAACTCTAAAAATATTGTTGGTTGTAAGTGGATTTATAAAACTAAATATCATTCTGATGGATCTTTAGAGCGCCATAAAGCTCGATTAGTTGCACAGGGTTTTAATCAGCAGGCAGGTATTGATTTCTCTGAAACTTTTAGTCCTGTCGTTAAACCCACCACTGTTCGTATTGTACTTACTCTAGCTATTTCTTTCGGGTGGGGTATACGACAACTTGATGTTAAAAATGCCTTCTTACATGGGAATCTGACAGAAGAAGTTTATATGCGGCAGCCCCGTGGTTTTATTCACCCTCACTTTCCTAATCATATTTTTCGTCTGCGGAAGGCCATTTATGGCCTTAAGCAAGCTCCACGAGCCTGGTTTCATAGATTTAGTAGCTTTCTTCTACAGCATAATTTTTCCTGTAGCAAATCCGACAATTCTTTGTTCATATACCGCCAGAATAATACTATTATCTATTTTATTACTATATGTGGATGATATTATTATTACTGGCAATTCTGATTTCTCTGTTACCCAATTTATTTCAATTATATCTAAACATTTTGCTATGAAAGACTTGGGTAATCTCCATTATTTCCTGGGTGTTGAGGCCATTCGTTCAGCTAAAGGTTTGTTTCTCTCTCAACATAAATATGTTACTGACCTTCTAGCTCATTTTCACCTTCATACTGTCAAACCTGTTCGCACCCCGTTAGCTTCCCGTACCACTCTGTCTCTTTCTGATGGTGAGCTACTATCTGATTCTACTGAGTATCGCAGCATGGTTGGTGCATTACAATATTTAACTTTGACACGGCCAGATATTACTTATGCAGTACACTTAGTGTCTCAGTTCATGCATGCTCCTCGTACCACTCATCTTTTTGCAGTCAAAAGAATTTTCAGATATTTGCAGGGAACACGAGATCATGGACTTTGGCTTCAGCAGTCTAATCGGCCAACCTGTATAGTTGCTTACTCCGATGCAGATTGGGCAGGTTGTCCTGATAGTTCTCGGTCTACCACAGGTTTTGCTGTATTTTTGGGCCCTAATTTGGTTTCCTGGAAGGCTAAGAAGCAGCCCACTGTGTCCAAGTCCTCCACAGAAGCGGAATATCGTGCCATTGCTTACACAGTACAAGACACACTACATATCCGCTCAGTCCTGTTCGAACTTGGATGGCCTATCTCCGAGCCGGTACATTTATTATGTGATAATATATCTGCTTCTTACTTGACTGCAAATCCAGTTCACCATGCTCGAAGTAAACATATTCAGATTGATTATCATTTTGTTCGCGAACGGGTTGCTCATGGAGATCTGATTGTTCAACATGTTCCTACTCATCTACAGCTGGCAGATATTTTTACTAAAAGTCTATCTAGTCAACGTTTTCATTTTTTGAAAGACAACCTGTGCGTTGTATCTCCCGCACAGTTTGAGGGGGTGTAATAGAATTCTTATAGGCTTAGTATTGTACTTTACATTCAACTCTCTCTAATATAAATATATCTGCCAGGGCTCCTCAGGGAGTAACCTTTTCCATTATTTCACACTAAGACTGAAGAGTCAAGAAAAATAATAATGAGTATGTTAACATGCTTTATAAAAGTGCATTTTTTGGATGACTTAACTACATGTATCCACCTCACAAGAGTAATATGGGTGCATCTTGTTCGTCAACCTCAATTGCATGCCCTTTGCAGACCAATTTTGTCTGATAGCTAGGTCCCCATCATTGGTGTTGTTATAGGAAATGAGAAATGCTTGATGTACACATTTTTGTGTACACCTTTTGTACATTCGTCTGCCTCACGCAGACAGATCTGTAGAGTTTTCTGTGAACAAACAATTTTTTGTACGTGAGACAGACGAATGTACAAAAATGTGTACGCACGCATTTCTCTTCTTATAGGAAATGACCGTGGCTCAAACTAGGCATGCTCATTGTCGACTAGTTAGTTAAAAAATGCTAACACGACTACATACTACCAAGTCCTAATGTGCTCACAACAAGTTCTTTTGCGTAGAGAGTTTCAAGAATTCAAAGTAATTGAGAAGCGGCGTTTGATGCAAGAAATAATAGTATACTTTAAACAAACATTATATTTTGTCAACATAAAAGCTCAAAAAATAGCAAGTATAGGCGAAACTTGGTAAGTTAAGATGCATGGTATACACAAATAGGTGTTATATGAAGCAAGAAACGAACAAGAGATGTACATAAAAAATGATGAGTGCTGTACAACAATATGTAAAGAGAGGACTAGTGAATACTTTTTACCCATTAACCATTCTAGGATTGAATTCAAAATTGGAATTCCTATAAGACAACTGTGAAGATAAGCAAGGGATACAATGAGATAAAATCCTATGTCAATCAATCTATGCACTTCTACAATCCAGCTGTAGAAATGGAGCATCCGCAGGAGCACAAGGACATGAGAGAACATACAAAAACTCTCATTCAATAATGCTAGAGACTCGCTTCAACTGAGACTAGGGTTAAAATTAATCTGTCCTTTGAGATCTTCCACATGTAGCTGATCAAAGGCCTCACTTGACTAGCAACCTAACCTCTCTCATTGTCTGAGGTGTTCCGGAATAAGACGGTTTCGGAGGTCAGCCGGAGCACCAGCAAGCTCTGCAGAAGAAGATATACGTGTGCCATGCAAGAAATTAAAGCGGGAAGAAATAATAATAATAATTGACCTAAAGGGCAGTCAGGTGTACTATGTTGTCTCTCCAAGACGAGGGTCCACGGAAGGGTCCCATCACAAGAGTATATGTGGGACAAGCCTTCCCTTGTCACTTTTTGACAAGAGAGGTCACTCCCAAGACTTGAACCCGTGACATCTTGATCACACAACAACACCTTAACCGTTGACCAAGGAAAAAATAATTGACATGGAAAAAAGAATTAACCTTGGGGAGTGAAGTCAAAGAGAGGAGGCAAAGGTTTCCCATTTGGTAAGCATGCATTTGGCTCCCTTATAGCATCAAAGAATGGATGTGCACAGGCCTCCAACTAAGAAAGATGTACAATGCGTTAACAATAAGGTTAGAGAAAGGGGAATGATGTGTTACAAAAAATCTCAAAGCACAATCCCATATCAAAAAATTAGAGAAAGGGGAATGATGTGTTACAAAAACCATGGGTTAAACTAACTAACACATTTAATCATTTTGTTTTTCCAACCAAACCGAAATTCAGAGAAGCCTCTCAATTAGTTTGACCATTTTATTTCCAAGAACAAGACAGAAGGCAGAGAGTAAAAATGCTTCTACTTACAGCACTACACCGCGTTGTTGGTGAGTATTGGAGCAGCCGTGATACTAGATCGACTGCCTCAGGAGGCATTCTTTTATGAAATACCTGGGAAATGCATAAGGCCGGTCAGAACTCCCTACATATTGGCAATAATCTACTTTAAAAAATTTCTCCTTAAAATTTTGCTAATTGGCATTCTTTAGGCTACGTGAACTCAAGAAGTAAGATCCTCAATGAATTGGTTCAAAAATGTTGGAATGCAACCCAGATCCAAAATTGGAAATATGCAAGTGTCCACCTAATTACATTAGTATGAGGTCTATTTAGGACTTGCCTAAGAAAACTAATGAGGACTTCAAGTGACGTTTGCGGAAAGCCAGACACATAAACAAACCTTGTGCCACGGATGAGCTTTGACTTGTGGGAATTTGAATTCTTTGTAGTTAGGATTCATGCATTTGATCTCCTCCCTACTTGGTGTCCCTAAAACCTGAGGTATATAAATGCAAGTAAATAAAGATTATGAGCAATCAAGAGGTGAATAGAACTGAACTCCATTCCTATTTTGACAAGAAGAAAAAAATCATATAGAGCAAAGCAAACCTTGATGATTTCTACAAGCAGGTCAACACTACTTTCACCCGGAAATATAGGCTGCATGTGATGCAACAACATTCAGCGTATCAGACTATGATTGCGGCAGTTTGTTTTTATTTACTTTCCATATAGTACAACAGTTTACTAAAAAGGGGCTAGCAATGAAAAGACCTGTCCAAGGAGAAGCTCGGCCATAACACAACCAACAGACCACATGTCAATTGCAACCGTATACTCAGTGGCTCCAAAGATCAGCTCCGGAGCCCTATAGTAGCGAGAACAAATATATGATATATTTGGCTCCCCAGGAACCTGCAGTGTGACAAGTGCACTGAATTAATATTGACTTTTATTTCAGTGGTAAATAAAAGAATCTATCAGGTTTCCCCAAAAGTATCACCTACCAGCATCTTTGCACTCCCAAAATCACAAATCTTTAGCTGATGTGTGTGAGGATTAACCTGAAACAAACACCCACATACACAATGAATAATATAACCATTGTTCATAACACGTGGGAAACCCAAGATCTAAAAGATACACTTTGTTTTATTTTTTTTCTTCTAATAATCCATTAATACTTGAGTTCCATTCTTAAAGGTATTAGGAGTAATATACAGGCTCATGTCAATATATACCCTTATGTATTCTGTTATCATCAATGTAAGCCATATGATACTGAATTATTATTCATATAAAAGTCATGTTTAAGTTTGCTAGTCATATATTAGGAATCTATGAATGTTTTAGTTTAGGTAAATTTCCCTTAATAATACCGGTTTTATAAAAAGATCTATCTAATGGGAGTATTATAAGGTATGCTATAAATGTATAATATGTTGACTTATACTTATACATTCGTCAGATGTGATAGTAGTCGACTTAACACTTGAGGGGAAAAGCTCACCAAAAGATTCTGTGGTTTGATATCACGGTGACATACACCGAGTACGTTGTGTATATAATTCAAGCCTCGACAAATCTGTGATGGTAGTAAATGCAGGTAAAACAATTGATACTCCCAAACAGAAACATGATTTATAAAGCTTGGGAAAAGAATCCTTTACTTATATCACCTGGTATATATAGAGTTGCACATATATGGTGGGCATGTGATGGTTCATGCGGCTATAGTGCCTAGAAACTCTATACACAGTTTCAGAAACATACTCCATGACAAGATTAAGGTAAACTTCATTCTTTTCAGTTGTTGAATAGAAGCAATGCTTCATTTGAACAACATTAGAATGATCAAATAAACGCATAATCTGGAGTTCTCTGTTCTTGTATCTCTTGTCCTGCAGCACCTTCTTTATAGCAACACTTTCACCAGTTTCAAGGCTCTTTGCCTAAGACAAACAATACCAAAAACATACACACATACCACATGAACAGAACTGGTTTTAGGTAATATAAACAAATACATAGATAAATAACTAAGTAAATAATAATTTACCTGGAAAACAACTCCGAAAGAACCAGAACCTACCACACGCTCTGCCATGTAAGACAACTTCTGCATCCAATACTTTTATACAGATTAGCATTATGCAATTACTATTACTACTCTATTAATATCATTATTATTTAAAGAAGAAGAAAAATATCCTAAAAAACCATATGGCATGCTTGAAGAACATTGGCAACCTGTTTCGGTTGTCCATTGTGACCACCCACAGTTGTTACTATTATCTGGCCTGCTTCAGTTCCATTACCGCTAACAACTGAAGGCTCCAAACCCTGCATGTGTATACTATCCAAATTACATCTGAATTTGGCAATGCAAAAAGAGAACTAAAAAATTATAGTCAGCTGACCTTTATGTTGTCTTGATCATCAAGGTCGTTGATGTATTCAGATTTTTCATGCCTAGCAACATTTGATACAGCAGTTTCCTGAGATGTAGAAGCTGTATTGTGATCCGGAGCACAATGTTCTTCTAATTCAGGTTTAACTACAACCGGCAGCTCCGCTTCTTCTTCTTCTTCATCTTTCACCCTACTTATGGTCAAATCCCCTCCCTAACCATTTTTTAAAAATGTATTCAGTTAGAGCAGTCAATTGAGACAGAATCTCCATCCCCTTATCTTAAAACAATATTCAAAATCAAGGAAACCTTCCTTTTATGGAGCAGTAGATACAAGCTCACATAAAAACATTGGACTAAGGCTGCGTTTGGATGCAAAACGCCAATTTTTTTACACGTGAAACGCTGCTAATTGCAGCGTTTGAAGGAGAACACACTGAAATACAAACGACCCCTAAGTTTTATGATAATCCATGAGAAGTATCTGGCTTTCTGGCCGTATTGTATGTGACAATTGCCATTTAGCTAATAAGCCCGTGGAGAAAAGATTGAGGTGCCAGAAACTATACTATTCTACATTTGAGGTAGTAGTGATAATTCCTTATAAAGATGCAATTAAACAAGTTCTTCCAAATGATAAAGAAGGGGGTTGCATGTGGGGCTGTTCTGATTTTACCAAGGGCTCTGATAAACAATTTCTTCCAAATTCCTTTTTTTCATTTAGTTATTTTCTTATTTAATTTTGATTAACTTCTCTAAGTTTTATGATGATCTTCCTGTTAATTAAGTCTGACTTTTTATGACGAAACTCTTTATTTTAATATGGTATCAACGCTAATTACGCTTAAATGTACAACTTCATCTGATTAAGACTCTATTATACCAAGCCATCTAAGCCAAGTCTAAATACGTGATCCATCAATATGGTAAAACTTTCGAGAATAATCAGAACGAGCCACCATCTTGAGGGAGCGATTTAAATTGGAATAACACAATATTGGGAAGTAAAAAAATTACCATCTTGAACTGTATATTAAGCAAGGACATATAAAATATGCAGCCAAAATGCAATGAAGAAAGAGGGTGAAAAATTACAGAATCTGAAACAGAGGAGAGACCGGAAGCAATGCTCTTGAAACGACGCATCACATTCATGATTTCCCACACGCCCGCAGGAAGCTAGAATAACAACCCTTTCTTTCTCCCTCCCTCCTTTTGAGTCACTTTTCCCCAAAAAAGGATATCCTTCTTGAACGGGGAGAGAAAGAGAAAGAGATTGAGAAAGAGAAGGGAGAGAATCGGCGGGGCAATGCTTCTCTCCCCTCTCGGCGGCGCTGTGGGTTCGGGAGGCGGGAGAAAAAGAAGAAGAGGTTCAGGAAAGGGAAAAGCTTTCTCTGCTTCTTTCTCTCTCGGCCAAATTTGAAATCAGAAAACAGAGCTTAGAGCTAAGAAGTTTACCGATCAACTGAACGGCTGAATGGTTTCCATTTCCCGCGAGTTTGTGGTGGAGGTCTAAGGTGAATTATAGGCCGTTGATTTTATGGGAAGTGATTGCACGGTGGGAAATGGCCGGAAGTGCTGGCATTTAATGGAAAATGATCATTTTTCCCCAAAGATGAATCAGGCAGGCACTCACATCATTTTCGTTACCTGAGTATTCGGGTTTAAAGACTAACCGTCCGTTGCGTAACATTCAAATTGTCTGAATCATTAATTCTTTTGAAATTTATGAAGTTTTGGTTGAAGTAGCCGATTGTTCTATTGATTTATCAGAAAATTATATTAAAATATTTTTTATTAATAGAATAAAGTAAGAATTATATGAAAAATTAGCTAAGATTATCCTCTTCAGTAACTTCAGTCAATACAGTCAGAAAAGTAACTTCAACTTTACATAACTCAGCGCACGAAATCAAAAGTCACATGTTTAGTGAAAGAGTTTGCTGATAAGATTGATAAACCGAAAAACAAGATCACCAAACAGACTCTAAGAGTAAAAACAAATTATAATCATGAACTCTATCTACACATTTTCCTTTTATATTTGATATTGCCTCCCATTAATACATTTGTGTTTTATTTTCTAATTCTGAGCACTAATTTGTAATCAAAATAGAACGTCACTATGATTTCAAAATGGCTTAAATACTTTTTTAGTCCCTTCATATATAACACAATTTTTTTAAGTCATTGCAAAATATTTTTCTTGTTTTTCATCACTGCAATATGCACTATTTTGTTTTTAGTCCATCTATGATTCTGAAACTACTCTACTTACAAAAAAAATTATTTTCAGTTACACAAATCTAGTAAAAATATTTAAATTCTTCCTTTTATAAATTTTTTGAGGCTAATATGAGAGTTAAAATAGTGTAAAACTAAGTATTCACATTTTAAAAATATATATTAAAAACCATCTAAAACTAAAATTAAATACATTTTTAATAACATGACAAGAATTAGAGGAGATCTATTAATCAATGTTATTTTGAGGTCAAACAAAGATTGTTATCATCGGTGAAGGATTGAAAAAAAAAATCAACCTAAATTGCAGGGACGAAAAACAAAGTAAAATATTTTGCAGAGATGTAAAACAAAATGTATTATATTTGCAGAGACTAAAAACATATTTAAACCTTTCAAAATATATAAAGTTGAGTTAGTATCATAGAACTCAAAAATTATAACAAAACTAGCTGTTGCCTTTTCTTCGATCAATTAAGTTTTTTTTCAAACTAATTGGGAACATAGAAAGTATACAGATAATAGATACCATCATACCATCATTAAAGTCCTGTGTCAAGATGTTTTTTTGTTAAAGGGAATTTATTGATAAAAAGAAAGACATTACAAAGCGATAAAGAAAAAAAGAAAAGAAAAAGCATTACAGAAGGACATAAAAAGGAAACTAAAAAAGGAAATAAAGTAAAAATAACTAATCCCACGGGAAGTATCTGGATTGAGACCGTGTTCTCATGCCATGACGCCTTTTGTTCTTCTGAGTTTTTCGGTAAATTTTAAGCTACGTGTTCCAGTTGTCCGTTGGCAAGCAATTTTCCGAAGTTATGAAATTGGCTTTGCGACAATTTTTTTTATTGAATTTGGACTTCTTAATTTCTTCTGGGTATGAAATAGGAGCACGGCAATCATTTTCAGTTGCATGTCCCAAGAAGTCGTCAGTGAAGATGGAGTCATCCAAATGATCAAAATCATCAGAGGCCCATGAGTAAGCCTGGGATGGTGGCAACTGGAGTTGTTTCCCAGAAGAGAATACATGTTCATTATCACTTGCTACTGCTTGTATTTGTTGATGGAAAATCAGTTTAGAGATGGATGTGGGGTCCTCAGATTCTAACTTGCTCCCATGTTGAAGGGAGATTGAGTCGTCCTGCATTGACTTTGATACCTCTACAAAATTAGAAAAAATATTAAGGAACTTTAATAGGCTCGAATTATTGGGTCCCATGGGTATCTAAATAGATCCCCCTTGTGTTTAGCCATTTTGACATAGTAGCTTACTCTGTTAATTTCCACGGAAATCGTGATATCTCCAATTCGTCCTTTTTCTTCAAAAATTGTCTGACCAGGATTTCTGAGCTGGTAAATGAACCCGATGATTTGGGGAACAAGCTCTAATTTGAAGTAAATCTTGTGCAGAAGAGACTTTCTAATTTCAAAGAGGACCAACTCTCTTTTTTGCATTGCGAATTTAAAAGATTCAGTTTCAATTTTGACCGAATCAAACCCATATTCTCCAAAGAAGGAAAAATTTTCACCGGCTAATTCAGTCCCTGCCTGGTCAACTCCAGAGGAAACAAATCCATCCAGGTCACACATTTTGATAACAACGTGACACTTTTTAAAAAATAAAGAATAAGAAGAAAGAGAGCAAGAAGAAAAGGTGGAAGGAGGAAGAACACATGGAATAGCGCTTGAATTTCAATGGATATATGATATACTCCGTATGATTAGGGAATTGATGATAATGATTTTTTTTTGGCAAAAGGGATCATATCATTAATTAATCAAATCAGCAGCCATGTGACTGACAATCGGGAATCACATCCTGGCCGGGTAGTAACACACCTTGCCTAGCTAATACATGGGCAACTTGGTTCGCAGTCCGCTTACAAAAGAGAGACTAAAACCACTATTTGTTCTCAATAGACCTCGTGTATCCTCAAGTAACACATCAAAATAAGAGAACCTTTTCACCTTCGTACTTCTTGCACCACCGTTAACGGATCTGACTCGAACTCAACCCTTTCCTAGCCTTCCCGAATAGCGGCACTGACAGCATCTCGAACTCCCATAGTCTCGACTTCAAGTGGACTCCAATCACCATGTTTGGACGCAATGAAAGCTTTTATAAACTGTCCCTGATCAGTATGGGCAACCCAACTCTACACCCCAATACCACTTGCCTCATTAAGTGCGCATCTATATTCACCTTTATAAAGCCTGCTTTAGGCTTCCTCCAGCTGATCAGATGAGTAAACTTCCCGTGATTTATATCCGACTTAAATATTTGGGAATCTTCCCAGGATTTCAGCATTCTGTCTGCACTTTGAATCACTGCTACACTTCCCAAGCTTTCATTCTTCCAGATTGTACCATTCCTCCTCTTCCATAACTTCAAAGCATAGTTATGAACCGACCGCAACCTGCGTCGTTCCTCCCTTCCATGTTTGCCTTGATCCAGGTCCCAATTTTTTATGTCAACAAACCCAATTGTGGACTTGCAGCCCACCATACCTCTTGTACAGTTGGACAATGTCGAAAAGCATGCTCAACGGCTTCCTCATCCTCACCACACAACTTACAAATTGTCGAGATTTACAACTCCGTTTATTAAGGTTTTATAAAGTAGGAAGTGACTCGTCCATAAGATGCCATAAAAAATATTTAATCTTAGGCAGGATTTTAAAAGACCACACACATGTCCATCTGTCCCAATTTTCCGCTGACCCAGACCCCACTAATAATTTAAAACAACTCTTACCTGAAAATAGCCTACTACTTTCACCCGGTCAGTACCAACTATCCACCCTATCATGTGAACTGATAGGAATACTAAGGACCTCTTACACTCCTCCTGTGAAAATATGGATTGTACTCTCCTCGCATGTCAGGCCTTACCTTCCTCATCTCGTAAAGATGCCACATTCATATCAAGGATACCAATCGGTCTACGCGACTGCACCTAACCTGATCCTGCCCCCAAGAGCCAACTGTCAACCCAAACCTGAGTATATCTACCATTCCCCACCCTCCTACGAATATTCCTCTTCATGACCTGTTGAGTTTCTATGATACTTCGCCAGATATAAGATGGATTATTTCCAACTCGTGCCTCCAAAAAAGTTGATTCCGGATAGTAAGGTGCTTTGAAAACCCAGCTCATCAAGCTGGGTTTAATGCACCAAACCTCATTGTGATATAGAAATTCAGCGCATTAGTCCCTTGTGATTTGAAAAATGCGTCAAACCCCCTTGTATTTTAATTAATCATGCACAGAACCCCTTTTATGAATAAATTTAACGATTTGGAAATCACTTTTCCTAATATTATGATTGAATATGCAAGTACATATGTCAAAATCTCTAAATCATACAAAAATGTTAACCATTTTTCTTTTATTTGACAATTGAATTTGTTCATAGAAGGGATTTTGCGCGTAATTAATTAAAACACAGGAGGGTTTGATGCATTTTTTAAATCACAGGAGGCTAATTCGCTGAATTTCCATATCACAGGGGGATTTGGTGCATTAAACCCCAACAAGCTCTTTGAATCCATAATAAGTCTCCACGTCTGTTTTGAGAGCATGGTTAAATTAAATTCCCTCACCCGTCTAAAACCCGATCCCTCCACATTTTGTGGTTTACATAGACTCTCTCAACTTCTCCACCTGAGCCCTTTTTCGTCAAACTTAGTTCCTCGCCATCAATACCCATTCATAAGTCTTTCAAGCTCCTCACATAGTTTCTTGGGCAAAAGAAATACATTCATAGTATAATTGGGCATTGCCTGAATCACATTTTTCAATAGCACTGCCCGACCAGCTCGAGACAAGAACCGATTCCCTCCAGCTTTTAATACCACTAACAATTCTATCTCGCAGATACCTCAAGATAACTTGATTGGCCACTATCACCCACCACTCTACGTTAGGACTAAAAAAGATGCTAGATTATTAAAATTAACTGCTTGACCCGACATCTGTTCATAGGTCTCCAAAATATTTTTTATAGCCTCACATTCATTTCTGGGTAGCCTTAAAAAATAGGAGGCGATCAGGAATTGATGATAATGATGTTATTATAAGTGTACACATAAATTTTCATTTAAGAAAAGTAAATATTTTTTAACAGGAAATGATGAGTCCCTATATCATACATCCGAGTGTATGTACACCCGACCCAACTAAGGAAGACAACCCAATAACTAATACTGAGTATAGGCAAAAAAAAAAATCAGTGGCATTTTAGTAATTTAAGCGAAAAATCACGACTTCCGCTAACTGAGCAATAGTTTACTTTTAGTGAGCATCTGACCTATTTTATTGAGTACTAGGAGGCTAACAATGAGTATCATGATCTATGCTTCATATCTTCTAATTCTTTTTCTTATTTTTTCTTTTATAAAACTTATCAAATTTTATCTATAATCCACTTCTATTAATTTCAATATGCGAGTCTAATGTAATATTCCCTCCGTCCCCCAATTAAGTTACCACTTTCCTTTTTGGGCAGTCTCTAAATTAAGTTCACACTTCCTTACTTTCCTTATTTGGCAAATTATCTACATCAAAACAGTGTCAAACAGTGCAAAACAGTGCCAAACAGTGTCATACAGTGTTTGAACAGTGCAAAACAGTGCACTCCACAGTAAAGTCAAATTTATTTTCTTAATACGTGTGAAGTCAAACCGGGAACTTAATTGGGGGACGGAGGGAGTATGATACTTTTGAAATATGCATTGATATGACATTTTAAAAATGAGCATAACATTAGTACCAAATGAGCATACATAACTTACAAAGTGCACATTGATATGAAAATTGTAAGGTTTGTTAGTTGAACATCACGACATTTTAATTGAGCATCAAAGCTCCACTATTGAGATGAAAATCACGGTTTCTGGTGAATGAGCATTAATGAACTTTTCATGAGCATCAAACATATTATGTTGAGTATTACGAGTCTAATATTGAGCATCACGATCTCTACTTCATAACTTATATTTAACTTTCTTTTTTTTAATTTTTTCTTTTATAAAAACTTATTAAATTATATCTATGATCAACTCCTGTGAATTTCAATATACAAATATAATGTAATGTAATACTTTTGAAACATGAATTATATGACATTTTAAAATGAGCATCACATCAGTCTCAAATGAGCATACACAACTTACAAAATGAGCATTGATATGAAAATGGTAAGTTTTGTTAGTTGAGCATCGAGACATTTTCAGTGATCATCAAGACATTTTTATTATACATCAAACCTTCTCCATTGAGTATCATAAGCATGCAAAATTGAATATCATGATCTATGCTACCATGTATATAATCTAACTCTCATGCGAATTTACTACTACCTCCGTCCCTTAAAACTTTGCCAAAGTTGACCGGCACGGAGAATAATAAAGTAAAAATTATGTGGTTGAAGTTTGTGCAGAGGAGAGAGAAATAACAGAAATCACAAAATAATTGATTAAAAGGGAAAGTGGCAAAGTTTTTTGGGATGTCCCAAAATGGAAAGATGACAAAGTTTTAAGGGACGGAGGGAGTATGATACTTTTGAAATATGCATTAATTTGACATTTTAAAATGACCATAAAACCAGTATCAGATAAACGTACATAACTTATAAAATGAGCATCAAAAAATTGAAAAGCTCATTTGAATTCTCTAATGTGTTCTAATGTTCATTTGTGCATATACAATGACAAATATAGTAATTTTATATTAAAAAATAGTTTATAGTCTTTCATTTTCGAAGTACAAATATAATCGGGTTCTTTTATACTCTATGCATATTTATTTCACTATACTCATCTTAGTACGGAGTATAAAACAAAACTAAGGTTAGTAATTAACACACAATATTTAATAAACTAATAAATATTCATCTTAAATTAAAAATAGAAAAATAAAAAATCAATACCTAAAATATTTTATAATACATAAGTAAACAAAATTAAGTTAGAAGTTTGGTTGGAAAAAGAAAAAATAAACTGGGAAATTTAATAATATTTTTATAATATTTTATATTATAATATTTTTATATTTTTAATTTTATATTATATAATATAAAATTAAAATAGAAGGTTGCTAGATAAAAAACAAGAAAAGAAAGGAGAACAAACAATAAAAAACAAAAAATAAAAATAGAGCAACCAATAAAAACAAAAAATAAAATAAAAAAGAAATGAGAACATACAATAGCAACAATAAGCGCACACAAATGCTAAAGGTACCGCAAAATGTACCCCATTTTTACCCCCACCCCCTAATGTGTGGCCATAAATGAGGCAATTCATTTAAGTGGGGCACCACTTAAATGAATTGGCCCATTTATGACCACACATTAGGGGGTGGAGGTAAAAATGGGGTACATTTTGGGGTACTCCTACCAAAACTCATAAGCGCAAGAGGTGGGAGGACTGTGCATGCGGAGCAGCAGAAAATGGAACAGAGCATCTCCAATGCCTTGATGTTAACATTAAAAAACGGTGGCCACGTCCTAGAACATCAAAGTGTTTTTTTTTATTTGTGCTCCAATGCATTCTTTTTAGAGTTATGTTAAGCTGAGTTGTACAAAATAAATGTAAACACCGTGAAACTCAGAGCATCTCTAATGCTCCACTTTCAACATTGAAAAATAATTGACATATGGCATAAAATGTATGGAATGTCAAGCCACATAAGATAAAAGTGGAAGTATAATAAATTGAAAGTTTAAATTCTTCTCCAATGCAATTTAAAAGACTGAAGTTCCGTAGATAAAACTTTAACAACTGCCTAAGCCACTAAGAGCATCTCCAATCCTTAGTTGTTGACATTAAAACTTTTATGGCACATGTCAATAGATGTATGGAATGTCTAACCACATAGGATGAATGTCAAAACCCGAAAATTGAAATCCTCAAAAACCTCCCCAACGCAACACGTCGAGATCATGCTGTTTTGTCCAATTGGAATTTAATTAATTCAAATTTAAGCCTTTCGTAACTACTCAGCCTGTATAACTGGCTTTTGAGAATGGGAAAGTGGGTTTGAAAGTGTTGACATTAAATTTTGACAACTCAGCATCACTTGTGCGAATAAAGAGAGCATTGAAGCAAAAAATTTGACACACTTTCAAAGGAGATTACCTGGCTCCGTTTTTTTACTGTTAAAAGCATCCCATTAGAGATGCTCTAAAATGGATAAAAACGATATGCGTATTTGCCGGTTCTTCAAGAAATCCGGACCACTAATTTTCAGCTTTAACCAAAAATGCTGACTCATCGTGTGTAAATGGCTTTTGAAAACCAGAAAGTGAGTTCGACACTTTTATTAACACGTATGCACAACAGCACCTCGTAAAGACAACATTGAAGGAGGTTTTTTAATACGGCTTTAGTGTTGTATTATGTGGCGTTCATTTTTTAATGTGGAAAGTGAAGCATTGGAGATGCTCTCACTTTCTCATCTTGAAAAGCCTGTTAAACAGCTGACTCACCATAGAAAAAGAGGTCGTGAGCATAAAATGATTTAATTCATTTTTTAAAAGTTAGAAAGAATAAACCAGTCGAGAATTGGTTACTCAAGATTGAATATGGATGGAAGATTTCCTTGGAGTTGGTTACGGCACGTATGTAAAGTTAATCGAGTCTCAAATCTAAATAATTTATGAGCTATACACGTTGAGTAATTCCACATGGATAAAATTCCTCGAGTTCGACATGATGCATTGCGGATGTTTTTCGAAGTTTCATTATTTAGGATTTGACATTCATCACATGTGGTTAAACATTCCATTGACATGTGTCACAATTTTTTTAATGTCAAAAGTTTAGCATTAGAGATGCTCTTACTGTTCGGCTTAGGAGAAGAGTAGAACTCCAAATTGATGGCCTCAATGTTCGAAACAATTACAAAAAAAATGGGAGGTATAGGTACACTGGACGTAAAAAGCCAAGTATAAGAAGGTTGAAACCAGAGGGAGTACTTCAATGAGTTTTGTTAGGAGTACCCTAAAATGTACCACATTTTTACTACACCCCTAATGTGTGGTCATAAATGAGACAATTCATTTAAATGGTGAGGGTAAAAATGGGGTACATTTATTGGTACATTTACCATTTGTGTACTTCAATGACCTTTTTGCAGTATGAAGTATTAACAGTGTGCGCGTCACAGACAAAGTAACCACCTTCGAGCAATTACCGTTACCGCTTTGTGCCCATTACCCATCAGATCTTATGAACTGCCCGTGAGACCGAAGTTTTGTTGTTTCACTATCAGATACAAAACTCGCGACGTTTTTTCTGCTGCACAAACAAGATATGGAATCACCGATAGGAGCTTCGCCTACGCCGCGGGGAACGCTCGAGGTTTTCCTCGCCAACGCCAAAGGCCTTGAAAACACCGACTTTCTTTGTACGTTCATATCTACCTCACCCTTCTCTATTGTCGATTCAATGTATTTTCCGATTCGGACTGATATACATTACATAAAACGTCTGATTGTCCGATCTAATGACCAAACCATAATAGGATCAGATAGCAGTTCTGTTTCAGGATTTCAGATTGCATTCTTGTTCAATTAACGGTTCCAGTGCGCTAATTGAGTTTGTATCTTCGTTTTTCATGGATTTCGTACTGGAAATCGTCTTGAAATGGATGCTTTTGTTATGAAGATTGCTAAATCTTGTGTTGATTATGATATTGCTCCTTTTCCTTATCGATAATAAGTTCTTAGGACGACGGAGTTCCTCTAATCTGTTTTATTTTCCCCATCAGCTAATATGGATCCTTATGCCATCCTGATCTGCCGGACGCAGGAGCAGAAAAGCACCGTTGCATCAGGTTGAATTGCATATATACATAGTACTCTCTCCGTATCTATTTACTTGTCTCGCTTTCCGTTTCGGGACGTATAAAAAAAAATCTCATTTCTCTTTTTAGATTCTGTATGTCACTAGTTGAAAATGTTGCTCCGTTTTATTCTTTTTGTGAAAATGGTTAATGGCAGAGTGATTGAAGTGATATTCCTTGCTCTAAACTGGCAATTTAAACACATAAATGCAGGTAAAGGTTCTGACCCTGCATGGAACGAGACCTTCATCTTTGATGTATCTGAAGGAGTTACCGAACTTAGAATCAAGTTAATGGATAGTGATAATCTCTCTAATGATGACTTTGTTGGAGAAGCAAAGTGAGTCTTCAGTCCTCTTGAACTGATTCCAGTAATAGTGATTTGAAGTCAGCTCAACCTACTTATAACTAGATCAAATCAGATAAGATGAAGCTGCATTAGCTAGTTTTTGCTTTGTAATGTTTTTGTTATGATCGATGATGATGAACAGAATCTCCTTGGAGCCTGTCTTTTTAGAAGGGAGTATTCCACAGCAATCATACAATGTTGTGAAAGACGACAGTTTTTGCGGAGAGATTCGAGTTGCCCTTACTTTTAAAAGAGAGGTACGTATTATAGGAGCCATACTAGCTCCTCTCTATTTTTTCGATCTCTCATTTCTTTTTCACTCTAGCTCCTTAAAAATAAATAATTAAACTCAATTTTTTTCTCTACCGACCATTTTCTCATGTCTCTCACTATCCCTCATACTGAAAACACATTTTTTTAATTTAATGAAGTAAAAAGCAGAAAATACCTTTTTAAGCCATGGAATCGATTCATTGTATAGGGGTGTATGCGTGTAGTTAAACAACTAAAAAGGAAGTAGATATTAGTTTGTGTTTTGACTGTTTTCCATTAACAGAAACTGTAATTTCCTAATTTTTGTTTTAAAAAAGATAAACGTAGTGTCTTAAAGAAGTGTTTTGGCTTACACTCTTATGCATTTTAATGTCAAAAGTTGAATTGTAAGGAGGAGAAATGAGTGTTTAAAACTGTTTTTTTACTTTTCTTTTAGGGAGTACGTTACCTACTTAATAAACCATGAAATGCCATCTGTAATCAACCAAACCCAAATAAATTGGAGGAGGCCACATCAGCATTAAAATAAAGGGCACTTGACTGAAGGTACGGAAAGCATGGGATATGAGGAGGAGTAACCGAATTAGGGTCACTAACACAAGATTGAAGGAATACATCTAGCAGAGGAATCAATATAAAAGCTAGTTTGTTAGAAGAGAGACATGAATGGATTTACGGGAAATTTCTTCTTGTCACTTCTGATTTCACTAAAGAAGAGCTGAAACCAGAACAGAGTTTATGACGGGTGATGAACGGAGAACTGAAACCAGAAGAGAGAAAAGAAATTTCCAGTAAATCCATTCATGTCTTTCTCTTCTAACAAACTAGCTTTATATTGATTCCTCTACAAGATGTAATCCTTCAATCTTGTGTTAGTGGCCCTAATTCGGTTACTTCTCCTCATATCCATGCTTTCCGCACCTTCATCACATGCCCTTCCTTTATTAGTGCTGATGTGGCCTCCTCCAATTTATTTGCGATTTGGTTCATTACACTATTTTTAACAAACATATACATTTACTTTTTAAATTTATGTGGCCTCCTCCAATCCTTCAATCTTGTGTTAATGAATGCTAAGATTGTCTTATCATTCATTTTCGATCTGTCTCATACCAAATTCGATTAAATTTGTGTGGTTCCAAATCATTATTACATTATTCTTACTTTATCAATTTAATATTGACCACATAAATCCACTTTTCTTGTTTACCTTATGTCCTAGTGAGACTGGAGGTAGTATTTGTTTTTTAAAATATTAGTAGTACATGCTATTGTACAACGTAATCTTTTCCTACTGAATACTTTTGAGATATTACCCGAAATAGGACTAACAGTTTGAAAATTCCAAAATAGGACACATATGTTTTTATTCCCAAAATAGGACTAATTACTGCCATGTTTTGCAGTACTAGACTTTAAACATGGCCGTATTTTCTAAACATGACAGTATTTAGTCCTATTTTGAGAATAAAAACATGACAGTCCTATTTTGGAATTTTGAAACTGTTTTAGTCCTATTTCAGGAACTTTCCCCAATACTTTTTATAAAACATCACATACAACGCAATCAATTCCTACTAAATACTCCTTACTTTTTTATTTAAAATTAATTAAATTTTAAAGTAGAATGAATCACAAAAGTTTGAGAAAATTGGTTAATCACAATTTGGCGCATTGATTTTAGTCGTAATAAGTTTACAATTTATAATCTATTAAACTCCAAGAGTAGTAATTTGATGTTAAATTAGCAGATGCATAGGGCATATGAAGCCGATGAGAGCTATGGTGGTTGGAAAGAATCGTCGAGAGATTACTGATCAAAAGTTTACTCTGGACTATTCTATGCTTATTTTTATTTTTTGTGATACTCAACGAAGTTGAAGAGTTTGTTTGAGAAGTGACAGATATATTTTTTTAGTTGAATTCTTAAAGTACGAAGGTAAGGTGTTGACAGGGAGTGACCATGGTATTTTTTGGAATGTATTACTATCTCACACACAAAATAACTTCATACAGCCCGTTGGGTGACCATATTTTTTGGTGCATCAGTTTTATCAACTAAATTTTTATTTCGTATGTTAAATTGTGCAATAATCAAAATAAGTAATGGTGGAGATACGTTGCAAACTGGATTGACTGAAGTAATCGTAGAAGACCATTTTAACTAGTAGTATTTTTCATTTTTTTATTTCAACAGAATAAGTTACTCCAGCCGTTTTAGCGACAATTTCATAAATTTTATCAGAATTAGTCGATTCAACCAATTTTAGTAGAATAAAAAAAAACAATTTTAGTAGAATCAATTTCGCTTTGATACAGTACATTATCGGCATTTTTAATCCTATATAAATCATCTTTGTTTTTTAATCCTTCCCCCTCCTCTTCTTTCTCCTCCTCACCTATATTTTTTTGTCTGTGTATCGTGGAAATAATAATATTTGAGAGTTACGGTAGAGTCACCGATGAGTTGAATGACAGTAAGAATTTTTGTCTATGTGATATACAAGATATTGTACGTGTCATGTTAAACAATATGTTAAACATTCTGTAAAGAAAAATAAAACCGAAATTTTGTACTCCCCCTCCATCCCTATACTATCTTCCAATGTACATAACACCACAGTGATTAAAATAATGGAAATTGTTTGATGGTGAGTTGTACAGAAGAAAAAGAAATGTGTAAAAATTGTTATAAACAAAAAAAATAGTCAAAGGGAAATGTGAATACTCCATATTATTTTGAGACATTCTTAAAATAATCTTCACCATTGACGGAAACTGTACGTATATAGACACTGATTTTGTTTAAATGTTGGTGTACTTATACAACAAATATATGTTATAAAAAGTTAGGACTAGGTTGCGCGAAATAAATGTCTGTGCACACAGACAAAAACTTTAAATACAAATAATTCTGTGCAGTCACACTGACAACTAATATATGTGTACACAAACATTGTTTTTTGTGCAATCACTTTGACATTTCTGCAAAAGGTATGTCAATCAATGTGATTTACAAGCAAACTCATATTTATATATATATATATATACAGACAAAAAATGTTTGTACCCATGTGTAACATTTTTGTTTAAGTACCGAAACAAATTGACCCTATTATTTGTTGTACTTGTCTATACGAATATTGGTTTCTGTGTACACAAATATTGGTTTCTGTGCAACCTAACCTTGCCTTCTTTGTAACATCTTTGTTTCTGCACACAGGCACTGAAAGAAAATCAATGTCTATATACATATTTTTTTAATATCGCAAAGTTTTAGAAAATGTTATTAACTTTTCAGTTTCAGTTTTTCGTCCCTGAAATAGTCACCATATTGAAATGTCAGACCTGTATTTCGGAAATTGTAAATCTCACCCATCAATTGTCCAAATTGATGTAAATGTGATCTTTTGAGGGGTGAAATGTACTCCTCGTCCAGATTGTACATTTCACCCCTCAAAGGACTAGATTTACAGCAATTTCGATAATTGAGGGGTGACATTTACAAACCCGGGAACACGGGCTCGACATTTCAATATGATGACTATTTGAGGGACTAAAAGTGCGATTTTCCAATTCCAATAATATTGTTAAAAAATTAGACCAGTTAGAAGGACTATGTGATGGATTGTTATGGAAGAAAGAATCGTGTCTGAAAGCAACACTGGAGAGGAGATTTATATTCATGAGAAGACAATTTCTTTTAATCATCTCCTTCTCTATAACAATCAACGAATCAGAAGACCAGTGACTGAAAAGAATTAGATTATATCTTTTAAAATCTAATTATAGTTACGATCAATTATATGTCACATTATCGAGAGTTTATAGCAAACATTGACTGAAGATTTACACGATAAGGATGAGGAACATGACCATGAATGTTGTATTCAAAAAGACTTTTCAAAACCTCTAACAAGTAAGTTTAATATTTTATTGAGGAAGCGGCCCAGCTAAACTGGTCACTGACTTAAATTACTCTCCCTTGAGAGGTCCCAGATTCAATAATCAATGAAGGGAGTTTGATTCCAGTTTACCCCAAGCCCCCCAGACCCCCCTCCTGCCAACCCCCCGGGATAAAGAAAAAGTTTAACATTTTATTACTCCGTATGTGTTACCACTAATTTAATTAATAAGTAGCAGGTTCTTATTTAACTAATATTCATTACTTTTAATATTTATTCTATTGACTTAAACTTTGTGGCACTCGCGTATTGTACTCACTTTTTAAGGATAATATTTTATTTTAAAATTAATTTAATCATGAAAATTAATAAATAGCAAATTCTAATGAGTGATGCCAATTAATTTTCCGTAATATGATCTTCATTTAATATTTCTTGTTGATTATACTTTATGCCACTAACTTTTTTCACTCATATTTTTGAAAAAATGTAAAATCCTCAAAAGTTTATTTTAATTTGAGAAAACGGTCAAATAAACTTTTCTACTATTTCTAATCCATTACTTAAGTTGTTCTACTAAAAAAATCATATTAGTATGCTTACTTTTTAAATACAATCAATCGGGACATTTTAACCTGCTATAGCAGATTATTATTTTTAAATATAAATTAGGATTACTGATAAATCTTATCAAAATTCATATAAATTTGAAAAATAGTGTAATAATAATGTAAAATATAGCATAAATGTTAAAATAGATAAATAATTTAAAAACATTAAAATAATAAAAAAATCATAAAGATGAAAAAAATAAAGAAAAATACAAAAATATAAAATGTAATAACCTTTCAAATGCATGTAGAATATACAAATAATTTCAAAGTTTTAAAATATTCACTTTTACATTGTGAATTTTGTCACAATTTTTATCCATTTTTTCCAAATGTTAATTATTTTTAAAGTTTTTAAATATATAAAATCTGCTATTGCATGTCAAAAACTGAATAAATAGCCAAATAGATCAATTTGTTAAAGTAGGGTACTTATATGATACTCCACTTTTTTAGTACAAAGGTTTAAGTAATTAATTAAAAATAGTAGAAGTGCATTTTTAACCCTTTTTGCCTTTAATTTTTAATTAGATTACGAGAGTAAATATATATGCACTGACTGCTCTTATATCCGTGTGTATGCACGGGTACTCCACCAACATTTACATGAATTAAAAACATATTTAAACCTTAAATATAAAAGGCATGCATATAGCTACATTCATGAAATTTTGTGGTTCATAGGCATCAGTAATAGGTAGTGTGATGACGGGAAACGTGGTACAATAGCCCTCTACTCCTCTCATTTCAAAAAAAAAATCTTATTTGACTTGAATTGAAATTTAAAAAATTGATGTTAAAATGAAAATGTGTGATTATACTGAATAAAAAAAATGATAATTAAGCTGACAAAACTTTCCAAATGGGTAATCGCATTCTCATGCCCATCTCCGTCAACATCTTCTACGACCAAACTGTGTCAAACAAACTGAAAATTAGGGAGCCGTAAACCAAGGCAGACACAAATTGAACAAAGCAAAGACCTGCTGCTCCTCGCAATATCTTTAAATACATAGGGGTCCCGCATATTTCACCCTTTTGCAGCTGCACATATCCCACAACAAATAAAATTTCGGCTCCAACAAACGCGACACTGCACATACATACTTAGTTTATCATACTCCGTATAATCATATACTCCTCCGGTTCTTATTTAAGTTCCCAGTTTGACTTCACACATATTAAGAAAATGAATTTGACTTTACTGTGGAGTGCACTATTTGGCACTGTTTGACACTGTTTAGACATTGTTTGGCACTGTGTGGCACTGTTTTGTTTCCTAAAATGGAAGTGTGAACTTAAATAAGGGACATCCCAAAAAGGAAAATGAGAACTTTAATAAGAACCGAAGGGAGTACCTGTAATATAATTTGGGATACATTCAGCAAAGTATTTATAGAAGTGTGAGTGTAACACCTACTGTAATGTGAGTACAAAATGATCCGTGATTTGAAAAAACTATTTGTACACATTTTTGTATACATCTCGATCTAATTGTGTGTGTGCACAATCAAATCATTCAGAAATTGCCTATGTACAAAGTTAACTTGGCGTGTGTACAAAATGTGTACAAATAATGTGTACAAGTAGCAGAGCTCTTCCTAATTTGACCCAAAGTGTTTACAATGATCATGAGTTGAATATAGTCAAAGGCTCTTTTGAAGGAAGTTTAACTTCTTTCACAATATATATTAATACTTCATCAATCCAATTTTAGCATTTTTTTTCCTTTTTTGAGTTGTCTCAAAATAAAATAAGTGTCACATTTAATTCCCCTTTTTAGAATAAATATGCATTTTACAACATTTTACTTTATTATACTCAAATCTGCGATTCATAACTTTTACCTTTTCAACGATTTTATTAATAATTTTGTCAAAATGAGGAAAATAAAGGATGTGTTTCACCATTATTTGTTTTTGGACTACACACGTTTTTGAAGTCTTTTTGATCATTTTATTTCATTTATATTTACGTAGTGATTTTTTTGTTGAAGAATACGTAGTTAATTTTTTAATACTTTGTACATCCGTAACATCCTTGATTATACAGGTAAAATACATGATACATCCGGCTGCACCGTGTGACTTGGTATGTATTTTTGTAATTAGTTGCAAAGCAGATGCCAGTAATTATGAAGAAAGATATATGTTTTCTTTTATTTTTTTTGCTTTGCTCCTTAATTATCGGACATTCTTGATCTGCGGATTTGCTCTTCCAACTGCCAACTTTCTTCATCTTCTTCGTTGCTTCTTCTCATACTTTTCTTTTTCTTTTTGCTTCTATTTTTTCTTGTTTTCTTTTCTTTTAATTTTGAACTTCAATTTTTTTTAACTTTAACGTTTCTTTTTCCTTTTTTATTTTCCTTTAATTTTGAACTTTAATTTTTTTAATTTGAACTTTTCTTTTTCTTTTCTTGCTTTTGTTTTTTCTTTAACGTCTTAAATTATGTCTATAATCAATTTCATTTAATTTCAATATGTGAATCTAATGGATTATGATATGTTTACATGAGCAATCTTTTAAAATGAGCATAATACAGTGCCAAATGAGCATACACAACATACAAAATGAGTATCAAAATATTAAAAACTCATTTGTGTGTGCTCATTTATTTTGGGAGTTATACTCATTTGAGTTCAACATAAACCTCATTTCTAATATGCTCAATATTCATTTGTGTATGTTCATTTTGTTTAGGCGTGTACTCATTCGAGTTTAATATAAAGCTCATTTGAGATCAATTGCAACAAGGATTCCCTAGCAACGAATTAGACTCCTGTTGTAACATTATACTTTTGAAATATGCATGAATATGACATTTTAAAATGAGTATTGCACTAATATCAAATGAGTATACATAAATTACGAATTGAGTATTAAAAAAAACCTCATTAAATATGTGTACTATGCTCATAATTTCTTTTGTGTATGCCCATATGGCCATATCTGTACAAATACGTATAACTTAGGATTCTCATAAGTATGCTCGATTGGTACTCATGTTATGCTCATTTTTTAAATGTCATTCAATGCATATGTCAAAAGTATCATATTATATTAGATTCACACATTGAAGTTCATAAGAGTTGATTATAAATATAATTTAACAAGTTTTTATAAAAGAAAAAATAAGAAAAAGAAAGTGAATTCGAAAATACGAAGCAGAGATCACGATGCTCATTTTTAGACTTCCAATGCTCAACAAAATATGTTTGATGCTCACTAAAACTGCATTAATGCTCGTTTAGCAGAAGACACGAATTTCATTTAATTTACAAAAATGCCACCGACCGTACGGTATACGCTTCCGATTATACAAGGGTAAAAAAAGAATAGTCATATTATGAGTTTCACTAATATAGAATTGAAGTACATTTCCTGAAAGCAATAAACTAAACTCAAGTGCGTGCTATTTACTAAACAATTTGTTGACAATTTAACTAATCTTCTTTTACCAATTTAACTAATCATGTCAATTAAAAACGGTCAAACAAACTGATCGAAAAATATGAGTGATCAGCGATTCACCAAACATGGTATATTTGTTTTGGTCTTCTTTAGCCCAAGCTCGATCTTTTATTGGATAATCTCGAGTCCATATTTTGATAGTTCTAGAGTAACACCAGGTGCAATAAAAACAAAAGAAAAGAAAGCAAAAAAAGACGTTCTTGAATAAATGAAACGGTCAACATTTCACACTTGCCGAGACACAACTTTGACCATTAATATAAATGATTTTGTATTAGTAAAAAAATTAAAAAAATTAGATTATGAAAATTTACAATGAGACAAGTTTAACAATATTTTTTTCATAAAATAATATTATTACATTAATAAATAAAACGTAGTCAAAGTAGAACATGTGAATAATGTAAAAGTCAAAATGTTGCATTTATTTAAGAACGGAAGTAGTATATATTTATATACCTTGTGAAGCCTATTGAGATTTTGAGTATTAGTTGGATGTAGTTTCTTCGAGTATTCGCGTCAGAACTTGGGCTCTTATCATAAAAAAAGGACACTGCCAACACTAGAGCACCCAGAAGAGCATTTTCTGACAGTGCCACCATCCACCTGCCCAAAATTAAACACCAACAACGTATAATTACCCACACTCGATGGCATACTAAAATACGTTTAATTCTTTTAAGCTCAAATGATAACAATGTTTAATATGATAACTATGCATCACTTAAATGTGTGTGTGTTTTCACGACCTGACACAACAAAAATGTTACGGAATTGACATGGATTTAATCGATGATTTCATGTCATATAGCTCATTCCAAAATGTGTTTGCAAATCTCTTCAAAAAAAATCTTTTTGGTACTTTTTTGTAGTGTGACGTTAATCATCGTTGGAACCGGTATATATGTATGTGAGTACGTGTATACCGTTATTGGCCGAACTTGAAATGATGCGAATAAACCAAGGCATCCTGCTATAAGAGCGCCGAAAAGACTCACACAAATATCGCGAATATACCTTGCATCGTTTTCAGCCATTTTAATAAGGGTGATGTTTAACTAGCTAAAATAACACACAATGAGAAAAAATGGGTGATAATTAGTGAGAATTTCTAGCTTAATTAGCTAAAATGGAGATCGGTATCATACGATAGATATCGATCTATTTATACTCCATCCATCCTTCAATTCCGACGGTGCATGGAATATTTATAATGGTGTCACAAACATGTCTTGAGCTTTGGAAGCGTTTTTAAGAAAATACTCCCATCTGTCCAAAAAAGAAGTACTACGTACGACTTTAAGATTTTTTTTTTCTTTTTAATTATGCCCTTTTACTCTTTTATTGACTTTATATTATTATTAATAATAATAATAATAATAATAATAATAGTAATAATAATAATAATATCCTCCGTATCACATTAATTGCAACATTGGAGTATATACACTATTCATGTACTTTACTTTGACTACATTTTATTTATTAATGTATATGAATTATTATTATTTTTGAAAATATTATTAATTTCGTCTCATTACTATGTTTTATAATCTGATTTTTATTTTATTTTTACTAATACATAATTAAATATAATGACGGTCAAAATTGTGTGTTGTCAAACGTGAAATGTTGACTGTTGCAACTAAAAAGAGACGGAGGAAGTAATAATAATAATAATAATAATAATAATAATAATAATAATAATAATAATACTCCGTAATTAATAGTATTATCATTATATGATTGTTTGCACTAATACTCATAGCAAAAGATTCTTACAAATGCATTCTTAAAAAGTGACCTTCAAAAGATGAAAGGGATGGTAGATAGTCAAGGAAACAAATATCCTCAACCATTTAATATTTTTCTGGTCCAATTGAACAAGTAGTGATATGTGTGCGCATGCGTATGCGCGTGCGAACATGTATGATGTATGAGTTATTATAACTAACGATGAATCACATATTTAATCGATTATAACATGATAATGCATGTTCCCATTTATTGAGTATATCATATTTTTAACAAATTACTTACATATGTTATCAGTCTATATTTTCTAATTAAAAGATCAGAGCCATTTTTTATAATTCTGAATTGCATCCAAGTGAAATTCGGATTTTCAATTACCTCTATCTAAACAAGAAAAATCGCTCAATGCCTATTTTTATCCATTAGATTTCTTTAGTGGCTTACTGTTTTTTCAAAACTAACTACACATTTTTGTAATATTTTAATAATTGGTGTATTCAACTTTTTTTTTGAAGATATTAGTCTTTCTAGGATTTAGAATTTAGCAAACTAGTCATTCGGTGTGTTTCTATGAAAAAAATTCAATTTGTGACATTCTGATTTTTAAATAATAATAATAATAAGAATAATACTCCGTAATTAATAGTATTATCATTATATGATTGTTTGCACTAATACTCATAGCAAAAGATTCTTACGAATGCATTCTTAAAAAGTGACCTTCAAAAGATGAAAGGGGCGGTAGATAGTCAAGGAAACAAATATCCTCAACCATTTAATATTTTTTTGGTCCAATTGAACAAGTAGTGGTATGTGTGTGCATGCGCATGCGCATGCGCACATGTATGAGTTATTATAACTAACGACGAATCAGAACACTACAGGCATGATGGGAAATCCTAAAATATAATTTAAGTTTTATCTTTCAAATTAAGGTTATTTTTTTTTTAAAATTAGGATTGAGTTAAAAGTATTACCAACATACTTGCTTAGTCAAACCATGATCAGAGGGAACCGCTAAATGAAGCAACGAGTCTCGTTAAAAGTACGAATAAACTTCCTAGTTGGCTGGGGGAGGAAGGTACGGGCCGGGAGGAGCTGGTGGTGGGGCTCATGTAAAATTAAAAATATTTTTTCCCGTAAAATATTACTCACTCCGTCCCTTAAAACTTTATCATCTTTCCTTTTTGAGATGCCCCAAAAAACTTTGTCACTTTTCCTTTTAATCAATTATTTTGTGGTTTCTGTTATTTTTTCTTGTGTGCATAAACCTCAACCACGCAGTTTTTACTTTATTATTCTCCGTGCCAGTCAACTTTGGCAAAGTTTTAAGAGACGGAGGTAGTATAACTTTTAAACTTTTGCTCCAAAAATATATCTGAAAATGATATAAAAATTATATCAAATTTTAAAACTTTTTGTAATTTTTCATACGATACTAATATTGCATATATAAAAAAATTAAAAAATTGAAGATCATATGAGGTGAAAAGGCTACAGAGTACTTTCAACTATGAGATTCACTCTGATAATCACCCAAAACTGCTTTGTAATTAAATTATTAAATTTTTAATCGACGTCATTTTTTACCCAAAAACTTTTTACAAAAATAAGAAAATCTGATTGCTAGAGTTTTTTAAACTCAAGTTTTTTTAAGCAGATCCGAGTGTTAAAAATAAAATCTCATGATTATTTTGTACATCTTGCATTTATTTTTTCAAAAAAAGGCCTGATAAAACAAAAAAATTAAACTCCAATTTTGTTGCTTCTGGCATTTCTTGAAAAAGTAACTGAAAGATGTATAAAATAATCATGAGATATTATTTTTAACACACGGATCTATTTAAGAAAAAATTTGAACTTAAAGAACTTGGTCTTTTTCCATGAATGTTATTAATTTTAATTCAAAAGATATGATGTATATATTCTAACAAAAATTAAAAAAGTGACATATTCAGTGACAGTTCCCAATGACTCATTATCAACCACTGACATATCACTCTGAAGTATATGTGTGTGTGTGTGTATAAACACACACATACTATATTGAGCCTTTTCCAGTTACTCGTACATAGTGATTAGTCATATTTTTGTCAAAAATCATAACTAGTCATATTTTTATCCTGAAAAACTCCATTAGTAATATACATGTCATTTCTTCAAAAAAAAAACTCTATCAACCTGATATTCAGATTTTTGTAAATAGTTTTTGGCTAGAAGTTGATGTAGATTGAAAAATGTACCCCCTCCGTCCCATAAAATAGTTCACTTGGATCGGAGTTTAAGAATGTGGGAATAAAGTGGAAATGTATGGTTGTGGTTGAGTAAGAAAAATGTAAATGAATGGTTGCCACATATAACTTTCCGAAAAGGGAAATGAGAAATGTTTTTTGGGATGGCCCAAAAAGGAAATCGGGAATTATTTTGCGGGACAGAAGGAGTAACAATTTAATTACAAAACTATGCTGGGTGAATACATTCACGGTGCCATATTGTAGGGGAAACTAGATTGACGGGTGAATACAGAGCTTCCATTTAAATTGGTTGAGAATTGAGTTTATTGACGGTCCGTAGTTGAAAGTAACTTTTTTACATCATACGGTCTTCATTTTTTTAAAATTTATATATGCAACTAACAATCTGAGATGAGTTACTCTAACGAAATAAATTAATTTTGTTATTTCAGTTCTGTAATTCACGATTTCATGTTTACTTTTGAGTAATAAAGATTCTCTTTGTTGTTATTTGATAGCATGCATACCCTCTAAATATTCAGGTTTAATGATTTTTTTTAGTTTGAATTGTGTTTTTTTTTTAATCTGAAAAAAGAAAACAATATATTTCAATGATATGCTACCTCATGACATATAATGAAAATAATACTAGAGGTATATAAAAGCTACTAGTATGTGAATTACATAAGTACACTTATGTGTTTTATTACATCTTAGCTTCTACGGTTCGTGTATCAAAGTGAATGTTGATTTTCACTAGCTAGTAGTTGATAATGTATACTTTTTGGATATAATGTACATTTTTCAAGACAAATTTAAATAGTAATGGATAGTATATACTTTTTCGAATAGTAATTGATGTCATTTAAGTGTATATTCTTCTGAGTTTTGTATATATCGTATTTTCGTTGAGCTTAAATAGCTCAACTTAAATATAATGGATAGTATACACTTAATCTTTTTACTATTTTACATTTGGCATAGCTCGTGTTGAGTAAAAAGGGTAGCGTTGGGGTTGCTCTAAGAATGCTTTAGTTCAGTAGTATTTTTGTAAATACTTTTAACTTGATTCTAAGCTCATAAATAATTTCATTCTTAGATTATTTTACAAAATACACATAATTTACTTATCATACATGTCCTAAATTATTCTAGTATTCCACATATATCTTTAGTCGCAGAAAGCTAGCCTTTTGCGACAAAGTCAACAGGAACAACATTAATCATATTTTTTTTTATTTTGGTGATCAACTGACCACTAATTGCAGAAAGCCTTTTTGTAACCCATATTGGGGGTGTTTGGTTAGGAGCTTATCAACCAATTTTGACTGATTTGACTACAATTTGACATTTTGACCAGATGGATAATCTAATGAAGGTGTTTGGTAAATGACTTTTTCGTTCGGCTTTTTGTCCCAAACAATAAAAATCTAAAACGCCACAAATCCCATCTTTTACCGTTGGCTTTTCCATTTTTTCTTTTATTCCTAAATTACGGCAAAAAAAATCCTTCTGCCAAGGAAGAACAAATTCGGTGAGCCTAAATGTGTTAGACGTTTACATAGTATTTTTTATGGGAATGAGAACTTTATCTTGTTAAATCCAAATAAGCAGGGATGAGATCACGTCTGTTTGTATGAAGTTGTTTGTCTGGATTAAATGACACTGAGATAACACACTATTTACTAAGTGTGCTGAATGAGAAGTTTGAATCATATCAATTGACCAAATAACCCTCTTGTCTCGATTAAGTGTTAAATGTACATTTTATGCTTACTTTTCTTGTTCTGAAAGATAAATTTATGTCTAAAAATAATAATACTGATGCAGTATATGGGTCTAGACCTCAGGACTCACATACTCAGAAGAATAAGAGGCACGACTGTCACTCAATGGGACCTCCGTCGGCCAGATGGCCCTCCATCGGCCATAAAGACATCAACTCAGAACATAATCCAGAAGTCAGGAGGAACAGGTGTCTCCGTCGGCCGTGGCTCCGTCGGCCAGACCCCTGTCGGTCACAGAGAGCTCACAGATCGGATTTCATACTTAGTCATTTCTATATACTTTGTACTCGGCCTAGTAGTGGCCCCATTGTAAATGGGCCTCCCAAGCCTAAGACTTAGGAGCCCAGCCCACATTTCCTCTATAAAAACTCTCCTTGGGAGTAGTTGTAG